CCTCAGTGAAGCTTCCCTGACTTATGCAATTAAAAGAGCAGTTTCCTACTTTCCCTTTCTTTTTTTTTTCCTTTTTTTGCACAGCATTTGTTACCATCTATTATTCCATCTGTTTACTTATTTATTAGTTTTCAGTCTCTCTCTCTTGATTACAATGTGGACTAGTATGTAAACTCCACAAGAACAAGAATTTGTGTCTGTTTTCATCACTTTAATACCCCAGAGCCTAGAAAAAATGCTCTCAGTCCAAGACAGACACTGAAGATACAGAGATTAAATAAGTGTTGATAAATATAATCTATTTGCTTATTTCTTGCCTCCTCCCATTCACATGGAAGCTCCATGACATGGTCAGGAACTAGTGTTTTCCACTTGTATAGCCACAGATCCTAGAACAGACTTAGAACAGATCCAGCACTCAACACATATGTTGAATGAATCCTCATTATATTTTGGTACAGAACAGAAAGAAAATCTCAACTCAGTCTATACTTCGCCACATCTTGCTTGGCTCTAAAATAAAGCACCCCACAGATGATTGAATCATTCACATTTTTAATTCAAAAAATGCATACCTATATTTTATATGCAATCCAAAATGCAATTAAAAACCAAAAATGACAAGGAAAGATAAGAAATATCACTGTTTCCTTGGTGATAAGAAATGGACAGACAAAAATTTCATGGTACAAAATTGTCAAATTATGCAATAAAAACATATTCACTCTCATTTTTCCCCAACATTTTTCTTCTACTATTAATCAATTATTAAAGGCTTTTTTTGCAAAGAGGTTTAGTTCCTTTTTTTCCTCTTCCCAATATTGAAGCTAATTCTGAAGACTGAGTTATATGACATTTACTGTCTGATACAAGAAAGGTTTCTTTTGTTTGTTTCCTTTTGCTCAGAACCACAGTATATCGAAAATGAGGAAGGTAAGAAGACTGTGGCTACTAAAACAAATGTGCAGTCCTCAAGATGAGGCCCTTTTCAGTACCAGGTGAACACTCTTTGTTTGCAGCAAAGATGCTATCGACTCAGAATGGTAGGGAGCAAAGCAGAAAGCAATGCTGGTGCTTCCCTTGAGATTAGGACAGAGTCCATTCAGTCAACCAAACTAATCAGAAAATACAAATACCAAAAGGTCCTTCACCCTTGCTGTGATTACCCGAGGCAAAGCCAGAAGGTCAGCAGCTCTATACATTCATTTTCTGACCCTTCTTGAGCCTAGTATATTGGGTCAAAGTGGACTACAGTTTATTTTAAATCTACAGCAACTGATCTATAGCTTTACCTAGTCTCACAGACAAATCCATAGAATGAACTCAACCACTTGTGAAGGCTAAGAATTATAGTATTCCTTTCCAAAATGCCCAGTTATTTTTATTTTTTTTAAAGAGAGAG